TGTGTGTGTGTGTGTGTGTGTGTGTGTGTGTGTGTGTGTGTGTTGGCTGTAGGTTCTTGGGTGCATTCATTGTTGCAACAATCCCTTACTCTTGGTTTAATGCTGTAAACCGCTTGACATTTGACAACAGCAGAAATATGTGAAAACATTTTGGACTTGAAAATTTTTTCTCCCAGAAATTTTTGTATCTGGTTTATCCTACTGAAAAGACTGCCTTATTTTATACAATATTTATACAGTACATCCCACTGTGCAACTGCAACGGACATCTGGAGTTTTTATTATAACGTAGTCAGAAGGTTATGTTCAAGTAAATCTCAATATTTTTATAGACAATGAATTTTACACTGGATTTGCAGCATATGAGATCAGCCACTCTAGCTATCTGAGTACCTGTGAATTGGATGGCCACACAGCATGTATACAGAGAACTGAATGGTTAGGAAGGATGTGGATCGCAGAGTTGTCTATCACTGTCTTTAAGCAGTCTCCTGGAGGCCGGCTTGCATTGATTTTTGATCAAACATCATTCTACTTTGGCCACTTGTCCAACGCCCTTATGCACAAACCCAGGGAACAGCTTTTTGTTCAAGGTTGTTTTCAGATTAGGATACTAATATATGTTAAAGATTGTTGCTTATTAAGAATATTTCCTCTTTAAACAGTATATAAATGCCATAACAGCTAAGAAAATGATGGTTAATAAGCTGTGTTGACCATGGTTATCTTTGTTTCTCTCTTATGACAGAATTGTACACTCGATCAGGGGATTTGTTTGTTCCTTCTGATTCACATCTTGGTCTGAAGGCACGGAAAAAATTAGAAACTATTCAATGAAAAATAAAAAATAATGTCAATTATAAGTTTGCTGTCTATTTCCTGCAACATGTCAATGTCTGTCCTCTTATTTATATTATCTTTCTCACCCATTCTTTTACATTGTTGTTTTAATTGTAACCATCTTCATTTTCAGGTTATGGAATGACCTAGATTGAATCAAAGATTTTTTTTAATAGAGGCATAATGCATCTCAAACTAAATGTTATAAAGAATATTTATACCTGGTATAGTGGGCTCATTGTATCCAACAATGCATCATGAAAACTAGTGTTCAACCAATGGTTACTAACTGAGGGATATATCAAACATTGTGCTCATGTTGAAATACAAGAGGAGAGAAAAGCCCCTGATGGGGCTCAATAGAAGCCAGCGACCATCAGATATTTGAAAAGAACTGAAAGCTACTAAATGTTTTCTATTTATTCATGTGGAAAATATGCTCAGTGTGATATGTACCAACTGATGTTGATGTTTAAATTGTGCGACAACAATGATGAACACAGAGAAAATTACCCCAGTTGTCAAGAAAAGTGTTTTAGTTTTTTCATCACGATACCTCAACACCATGGCCCCACTCCTTCATCGCTACGATACAGTCAAATGCACAAGATAGCTAAACCAGTTCATAATAACACATTAAGTGGTATTTTACACATGCTAATGCCCAGGGACAGATTTCCTAGGTGAGGGACAGGGGGGTCTGGACTCCCCTATCCAGAGAGTTGTCCCCTTCAATATCATTGACATCAGTTAACTAAAAACAAAGGATGTGTCAGACACATTACTTTGATTCTACCACTAGAATAAAACACATTCACATTTAATCAGACTGCATACTGTTTTAGTCGCATCCCAGTTGAATCTTGAATCAAACCCAGGTCACCTTGGTACTTGCAGCTGCCTTTTCTAATGCACATGTGAGGCAAGAGGTCTCTTCATAATTAAAAAAATCTGAATTTTCAATACTTTTTAGAGCTGTTTGCTTTGTTGAAAATGTCACATGTGGATTTATGTCCCAGAATGAAGGCTTTCATTCAAAAAAAGGTGTTATCTTTTATAGATGACAATGGAGTAATAGTTATTTAATACTGTATTTAAGATTAACGTCACTAAAACAATTAAGTGTTGCTGTTGTTTTAATATCTAGATATAAAATTAGTGGCTTGACAACTCCAGAGTAGTATGGGTTTGAAGAAAGTATCTAGTCAACTTTTTAAAAGGGCAGTATTTGTGTGTTTCCATTTTGAATTATAAAAACTTCTGTGTTATGAACGAGTTCTAAAGGAACCAGACAGTGGCCTGGGCTGCACCTTTAAAAGGGGCCCAGCTGCTCTTTAATGCCCCTGGTCCCAAAGCAGGTTAGTGCAGCCATGGACCCGAGGCAACGCACTGTATTTGTATTGCTGATAACTTGAATGCCTGAAAGTCTCTTTACCTTCCACGTTGTAGAAGCTGAGTCGATGTGTTTGCTAACGACCCGCACGTGTGTCTCTGACTGAGGCGCAGTGTTACATAAAGAGGAAACTCCTCTTTTCCGCCGGGTCACACTTTGCGACAACACGTCAGAAGAAGTCGCCGGAGGAGAGCAGACTTATGGCGGCCGTCGTCGTCGTCCACCGTCAACTCCATTAGAAACTGTTTTTATGTCACTGCAGATCCGGTGGAGTGGTGCTATGTCTTCGGGAATGACTGGACAAACACCGTGAGTGTCCGTTTTCACATTAATTCGGTAATGCGAGTGTCGCTGCACGGGCCGGCTAAGCTAACGCAAGCCACAGTGAAGCTTTAGCAACAGCTAGCATACACGGTCGCGGCCTGCTAATAAATGTTAGCCCGCATCTTGGGATTTGTGCGCTTCAAAGTCAACAACAGCGGGATTCTCTGGTTGTGTGTCATCACAGTAACCGGACCCTCGAGTCAACTTTAGTTTTTAACCAAATACCGTAAGTAAGAATGTTTAAAACTGGATCGTAACTTGCTGGGCAAGCTACCTTAGCGTAAGTATTGGGCAGCGCTGGCTAACTGAACCAGCTAACTGGCTTAGTTAAGAAGAAATAATCAGTCGTTAACTATTATCCCTGGTGATCTGGAGCAAAACACAGTGTTGCTATCTTTGTTATAGAGATTAAGACTTGATGAAAACACAGTGTATTTGAGGTTTCCTTATAACAGCGCACTGTTTGGTACATCTACACAAAACAGTGTCGTTGTTTCAGGTGTTTAATGTGTCTCCTCTAATGTTTTACTGTTTGGGGACATCAACATGTAAAATTGGCTCAACACGTGGCCCCTCGTTCATTTCCATAGCAGTTTGTGCTTCAACTGTTTGTAAGTTTTAACATGAGAAAGTTGACATCGGAAAAGTTTTGTACTCAAGTTAAATTCAACTAATTATCTTTAGGTCTGGTCAGTAACTGGGATTGTGTAATGCTTATGTGCTCATGTGATATTTTATTTTTGGTTTTATTCTCAGGTGCCTAAGCAGCAGATGGGATCAGCGGGCTCAACCTAAACAGAGTGTAGACGTGAGGCAGCAGAGGAGCAGTGAAAATGCAGCTCACCCTGTTTCATTATCTGGAGTCAGCAGCACGGGAGGATCAAATGCAACACTTTCCCAACCACAACAAACGGGAGAAAACCCTGCGCCTCAGGGAGGGGTGGAGATGGCTGCGGCCATGGCTGCTAAAATCAATGCCATGTTAATGGCAAAAGGAAAGCTATTGACTCCTCCTCCATTACTTGCAAAGGTGCACAAGATTTAAACACACGTTACAGATAACAGCATATGTCTTGGTTATGCAGTCATTAGAGGACTTACAGTCTGCCATGTCATTTCAAATATATTTTAGATCACAAGTGTGCCTGTGCCAACCACCACAGAAGAGATGGTAGTCACAGAAGTCGACATAAATGATGTACCGATAAATTGCCGGGACCTTCTTACTAAAGGAAAAACACAAGAGGAGGTAAGTGAGAAGGGGCCATGGCATTGTTGCATTTAAAACATCACATATTAGATAATTGGACAATGGGGGGGAAATGATGTATTCTAAAAATCCTTCTCATCTCTTTATTTATTGTTTCTCTCAACTTTTCCAGATTCGACAGTGTAGTGGAGCAGTCGTCTCAACAAAAGGTCATTTCATGACTGATAATGAAAAAGGGAATGGTGTAGGGTATGTATTTAGACATGTTCTTGCAAAAGTTGTTATCCATAACTTAAGTGTCACATCACTAGATAATACCTTACCAACATGCAGTTTGTAGTCATATGCATCTTATTATTCATTGGACAAATTGTTGCGAACTATATAAGAATGTCATTTTGCATACTTTCTTGCTAAGAAAACATATATACTAGAAGTGCAATGTTAATTAAATAAAATGCATGTTCATGCGAAATTAATTTGTAAGTGTTGCAGTGGTAATGTAGAAAATGTGTTTTGTAGTTCTGTGTTCATGACTTTCCGATTTGCTTTCCTTTAGACAAAGACCTTTGTATTTGCATGTCCAGGGAAAGACTCAAGATAACGTCAATAGTAAGTGGCAAAACATTTTTTTTAAAGTGTTCAATATACAGAGTCTGTCATTGTTGACGTTTGTGTATCAGACATCTGAGTTGACTTTTCTGAACATCAGAGGCTGTGATAAGGATAAAGGAGATCATCTCTGAGGACCTGTTGAGAGCATCAGCAGCATCCGGAGGACAACAGGTGCCTGTAATGCCTCCGCTCACGCTCTACCCTCAGCCTCCTCGACCTGTCATCCCCTCTTCTGCACAACGGATGCCAAATGCCAACTCAGTGCCAGGCCAGGGACATCGGCCTTCCGCTCCTTATTCAGGGGTAGGTAGACATGACATCTATGTTAAAGTTTAAGCCCCTACAAACAGTGGTGAAATGCAGAGCCAGCCCTATAAAAGTGAATGTCAATGAATGGGTGATTTCCTCATTGCTCTCTCAAAATGTATTGTTAGGTAGTCGCAGAATACACCCAGGGATACGAGTTAACATTATATGTGGAGCACTTTTGATTTATCAGGATTTGAAACACTCCCACATAAAAATAATTACACAAAGTAACATACATACTGTATAGTAGGGTCTCATGTTGAATATCTGTTCTACAAGGTTTTAATTGCATTAGAGTCAAGCTTTTATAAATGGAGGTAAAGAAAGTGAGGCAAGTGGAGACTATGTTGCCATCACTGATACCCACCTCCCACATTAAATAGCAGAGAGAACATCCCTGGTCTACAGTGAAAAGCCTTGGATCACTGCATCTGCTCACAAAGCTCTTTTACTACTAGCCAACCTATTTTAGATGTTAGTAAACAACTTAAATGTTCAGGATCTTTTAGTAAATCACATTTTTTTCTTATCCCCAGAGTTTTGTGCATACAAAGATCTTTGTGGGTCTGGACCAAACATTGCCCTCATTTAACGTGAATGAAAAAGTCGAGGGTCCGGGAGGTTCATACCTGAGTCACATCCAGACGGAGACGGGGGCTCGAGTCTTCCTTAGGGGGAAAGGTTCTGGCTACATTGAACAAGCATCTAAACGAGAGTCTTTTGAGCCGCTTTATGTTTACATCAGGTAAGATTCCTCTTTCAGTCATTGAAACTATTTTCTTATTAACATTATTGTAAATCATTAAGCAATACCCATTTACATGAATCATTTTTGGAAAATCATACACTTCTTTTGGATGTTCAGTATAAATTTCCACCATTTTAATCCAGCTGTTTGTGAATCTTAGAAAACCTGTTTGAATAATCACAAACATGATAAAAATTTGCTAACCTATTAAAGTATTTGGAATAGAGCTAAACGATTGCAAGCTCCCAGGGGTTATTTCTTAATGAATATCCAAATGACATTCACCGCAGAAAATGTTTTGAATCATGGGTGAGTTGACGGAATAACACCAATGCCCAAACCTTTTGGTGGTTTCTGATATTGATATTTCAACAAACATAACTTGTTTTACAGTCACCCAAACACACCTGGATTGGAGGCAGCAAAGAAACTCACTGAGAGTCTGCTGGAAACTGTAAGTTTATGATAACTGCCATCATAAATAAAGTTGTGGAGTTGATTGGAATTTGATCAAAGTCTAATAGGAGGTATAAGAAGGTGAAACTATTAAAGCGTATAGTTTTCACTGATACCCACCTCCAAAAGAAAAATGGGTAGCGTGAACCACCTGATCTCCAGAGATAGGTTTTGAGTGCTCTGCACCTACCCACAATGCAATTACTGAAAATATATCACTAAAACCTTTTTGTATTTGTATTCAGGTATTTCAATATTTTTTATTTTCCCTCAGGTGAGAGATGAACATACCCGAATGGTGTCGGTGTACACGGCCACAGGCTCAACACAACGTGAGTATTCTGTTACACACTCTATCTGAACAGGCAAATTCCAACAGGGTGCCCAAATACCAGGTACTAACTGACTGCATTCTTCCTGTGGTGATTAATCCTTTGACGTCAGTAGTGGCTCAACAATACGTTGAAATAGTTGGTGAAATTATTCAGAACACCCTGTTATCGAACCATGTGATATAAGCTGTTAACGCCACATTCTGTACTTTCATTTCAGCATACCCAGCACATGGATATCCACCTAATAGCAATTACTCTAGCCAGGGGTCCTGGTATAACTACCCAGCAAATGGGTATGCTGGTGGCTATTCAGCGTATCCAGGAGACCGTGGTTATTGGAGTAATGCAAATGGTCCACCAAGTCATTCTAACATGTCGACAAACCCTCCATCTTCTCAGGCAATGGTTCAGTATCCGGTGTGTCCTAGGAAACCACATCCCTATCTCGTCCAGGTAATTGATTAAAGCTGCCACACTTACTATAGAGAGCAGTTTAAATCTGTGCAAACACATCACATGGTTCATAAAACGAGTTCAAGGTTTCAACCTCGTTGTTTATACAGTAATTCGCACAATGAAAGGCCTACAAGGAGTACTTTTAGTTTTTTACAACCCTGCTGCAGCATCAGTGTATGTGTGTGTTGGATTTGATCTACTTCAGGATCCTGGCAGCAGTGAGACAGTGGATGAAGGCTCTCTAAAGACCCCTCCTGACCCGGGAAGTCCCAAACGTCAATTCCATGAGGCGGCTAAGGAGGAGCAGGTAAGCTGAAGAGTATCACCCTCACACATTAATGAAAGTTAATCATGGCCATTGATACGAACATGTCTTTTATTCATTGATTGATCTGTTAAGAGTTGTTGCTGAACCATGACTCTCTGGTCAAGTGTTAATCTAAACCACAACAATCAATCAGTCCACCGCACAAAGATGCATTTCATGAAATGACTGTTTTTCATACATGTCTTTTCTCTTAACTTATTTTAGAGTAGCTGAGTCACAAGTTACATAAATGTTATTTGCTTTGCTCGTAACTTTAACCGTTTCCTACATAAAGGTTTTGTATTAGAATAATATATTCTAGGTATTAAAGATGTTTACGTTGTTAATTATATTAAAATAATTAAATACCTCCACCACACTTAAAAGAAGTAGCTTGAAAGATTACGTAGTGTTTTGAGGGTTATTCTCTATTTGGCTTCTTCACCTTATGTTCAATTAAAGGGAACTTTCAGAAATGTTGTGACTGTTATATTCCTTCATATCTGGCGTACTTGACATGGCTCTTAATTCCATTCATTGTGGTCTAAAATAAATAAAATTGAACTTTTAGAACCTGTAGAAACCCTGTACCTATGACACAGGCTGAGAGGTCTGATTACAACTCAGAACTTTCTCGTCAAGGTCTGACTGACTCAGACAAATGGCAGATGTATGCACTGTAGAAAAGTATTTTAAGGGGTCATGGCTTTAATATTTTTTGGGAATTTGAGTAAAGAGAAACAGATTTTAAATGGAGAAGAAGGAACATTTGGTTCCAAATAGTTCATTTCTTAGTTTTTTTGTCCCCATACATGCAAGAGGACATGGACTGCTGTTTGAACAGGGGTGTCTTGTAGTTAACAAAGCTGTTTTTTGATAAGGGGTAAATGAAAAATCTTGTTTTTAATCTAATCCAGCCTTTCAAATACTTAAAAGCATTTAAGGTTTGAAAGAAGAGTTTTCACATGCTGAAGTTAAAGTTTTATTTTTCATTTCAGCCAACCAGCCGCTCTCTAGAGGGTCCTGCTCATCAGGAGCCTGCACTTCCTGCCTCCAGTGTTGGAGAGGAAAAAGCTGTAGAAAGGTCTGTTAATAGATCTCATTTCCTTTGTATGTTATTCTTCACAAATCTTGTGTCGTTAGATACTGACATTCTTCTCTCTTCAGAATTCTGATGCCGCCGCCACCACCTCTCTTTGTGGCTCCCGCCCCTGTTGCACGCAAAAGGCCGAGAGAGACAGACGATCAAGCCGTTCTGCCCGGCAACACCGTGCCAATGGGTATGCATTTGTTTATGTCCTAGTATTCTGAGAGCCCGATTACTTCTGTGGTGTTGCATGAAATGGCATCTCCCCCCGTGGAGGATGGGGGAGGAGTGGGAGACCTATGTGAATCTCTCCGCTGGCAGAACCCTCTAACACGGTCTTCTTGTATATGTTTTTTGTCTTTCCCTTGTTTTCTCTCTCAACATGTGTCCCTGGACCTGCCTGTTATGGATGTGTGCTGTGCTGCCGTTTCATTTGATATCTTCTCCCCCCGGCTGTGGATCAAACGAACTCAAAAACCACCGCTAACATGGGGCTCCTCAATGGGTTTCCTTTTTGTTCTGTTCTCTCGCTTTGTCTCTCCCCCCTCTCTCTTTGTCTCTCCCATGTCTCCAATCTCCCTTCTACTTGTCTCTTTTCTCTCTCTTTTTATTGTGCCCATACAGGTGTTCAAGAGGATGTGTGTGAGAAGAAGTCTAAAGTGGACAAAGATGCGTCTGGGCTTGTGCCCTATGGCGGAGACTCCTCTGACGAAGAGGAGGAGAGGACACACAGCAGTAAGACCGATAACTCCTAACCCTTGCCCTGCCCCACCCCCACTGTCCAGGATAATTGCAGACAAACTCTACAGTCAGTATGTCTCGGCAGTTCTCAAACTCGACCCCATAAAGGGAAAAATCCACCTTTGTGTCATCACACACAGTTTGAAGACTACACCAGTGTTTTTTCATAATTTACTGACTACAACAAATTGTGGTATTGCTATTTTCCTTGTAAAATTACTTTAATTTGCTTCCATCCATGCAGAATAACAGTTGTTTGTTCTCTCTGCGTATTAAAACCCACTTGTTTGAAGTAACTGGTCATCGACAACCAATGACAACGCTTCGTGAGGTTAATGGTGTTAATATGGAATTGATTAGGATTGGGCAATCCCTCAGATGATTGATCAGTGAGGGACGACACAATCACTAAAATAACTGATGTCAAAACAGCTCTTTGTAGATTTATGTGGTGATGATGAATTAAGTTAATCAGTCTCCGGCCCTCACTCTGTGTTTTTCTCGCCAATTCTCTTTCACATATGGAAACGCATTGAAAACTCACTTCTACCATGGGTCTGTGTGTTCAGACAAAATCAGAAGCAACATGTGCGTTTCAAACATTGACAGATGAGTTTCAGGCTTCAGCTGCAAATAATAGACCTGACGTGCAAAGACAGTTCAACTGGCCACAATCCAACACATGGAAAAGTGAGCACACACAGTTTTCAAAAAAAGGAACAGATTGAGTGACACAGAATAATGGTGATTGATGAAATGAAAGCAGCTCGGCATGTTGGTGTTCTTCAATAGATAATTTACTCTTGCTATCAGTTTGGTAAAGTACATATAATTATAAGCAGGTTAAAGATACTTAAAAAAACACTGGTATGTTTGGTCTTTGAATTGGCACTTTGATGTTTGCTGCTTTCCTGGACTCTTAAGGTTTTTAATGTTCTTGTCCTGTTGTATTTTTACTTTGTGCGCAACTTTTTTTTTTTCTTTCTCCTAGCTTCTCAGAATGCCTTTCTTTGATCCCTCACACAGTTGGTGTGAATTTGGTGTTTTTAAATATCCACTTACATAGAAAATGTAAATATAGATACCCTGCAAACTACAACACTGTTATTGTGCGTTTGTTTATGGCCACATGACATAAAATGCAACACATTTAAAACATGTGGCCTAATGTCCTTTCAGTCCTTGAGGATGTGGTTTTAGAGAAGACAAATCCCCTTTGTGTTATTACTGTCTTTAAGTTTTCTCCACCTCCGTTAAACAAATGGGTCCAGTGAAGCACATCATCAGAAGCCAACACTGTGGAAATATTCATGGTGGATTTTTCCTTTTTTTTTTTTTTTTTTAAATATTGAATATAATTTTTTTCCCCCTCTTTAACAGTTTCATTTTTATTTTCAATGCATCTTTTGTTAATCAAGAACAAGCCCCTTATTCCTTCTATGGACACGTGTTCTCTGCAGAGTTACTGATGATATAAGAACATATTGTAAAATTCAGTGAAACTTTTTCTTATCTTGGAAAATGGTGTTTGCCTGTTCCCATGGAATACTATAATAAAAACAACTGAAAACCCCTTATTTTGGATCACACGCCTTTTCTACTGCCGATGAAGAAAAGCTGATTTTTCTTTAAGACGTATTTCTTTATTTGGGATGTCAACTTCTTTTTTTTAATCAAAGTTATTCCACTTCCTGCTAGAAGACCAGCTAAGATAGCTGGTGTCAGATGAACGTGTACTGTGGAGCCTCTATGCTGTTGTGGACAGTTAGAGCTCCTGGGTTGTCCAGGCTAAAACAAGGCTGGACATAATTTTGAAAGTGACTGTTGAAGGTGTGTAGGTGTTGTTCCAGATCCACGTTGAAGAAGGACAGAGTTCCCATCTCATAGTCCAGTGCCACTCCTATCCGCACTGGGTTCACTGTAATCCTCAGGTCAGGACTCCAACCGTTGTGCAGAAACTCATATTTGTGCCTTAAGGAAAAAAAGATGCAAACTTAACGATTACAGTAAGATGTTCTAAATATAAATGTTGGGATGGTTTTCTAGCTCTGACAGTGAAGAGGATGCAGAATAAAGAGCCAGCAGGATTTTAAAATGGCTGCAGATGAAAGAAAACAAATGCGATTGTTAAATAGTGTGTTGGCAGAATCTCAGATGATGCCCACGATGTTAACCATGATCAGTGTGATCTTCTCTTCTACATGATTAACGAAACATGACAATTCATACGTCCTGATGGTGACATTCTCAACTCTGGGCCTCTCTGTCTCAGATGGGCTTAGTTTTGCATGCACAATTTTTTTTTTTTTTTATTGAGGAAAGGAATAATTTTTCTTCTGGATAAAAATAGTCCTGGCCCAGTTTCTGTGAAGCAGTCGTCCCTGAGAGCATCACTCGGCTAATTCAGATTGACTGAAAAATCTGCATCTACTTTGTTTATGCAGTCCTGTGAAAAACCACGTTCCAGTTTGTCTTTCTCAGCAAAACAAACAAGAATAAGTGTTGAAAAAGCATTTTGAATTCCATACACGTTTAGTTCCCCACAGAATAGTTCTATATAGAATATTTTAATTTATCTTTTTTTCTGACTGTCAGAAATTCCATAAGTATTTTCGGTCCAACTTTCCTATGCCACAAACAGGCTCTGAAGATGACAAATAAAAATGACCATAAAACACTGTTACACAAAATATTTCATGTGCTAGAAGTTATGTGGGTTTGTGGCAACACATTTAATCCCTTTGTTTTCCAAAATAAGTGTTTCACAGACAGAAATGTCTGTCTGTTTTTGAGGAGTTTTATAACTGACTAATGAAAAACTCAAAAGGCCGTTGATGCATCAAGTATGAAACTCCATCGTGTCGAGCAGTTTTTAATCCGGGAACGTTATGAAAAGATGTTGAGCTGTTACCTGGACGGAGTGACGATGTGTCTCATGCACCAGGAGGTAGCGTTGGCTCCGAGGTACGAGCTCCTCTCTGTGTCCTCGTATGCAACTCCAATCCTAAACTCTGTCCCATCGTCCACCTCAACCTCCCAGTAATGTCTCCCTCGCACTGGAATCAGATCTCCCAGCACAGCCACACATCTGCACACACGCGCTGATGTCACACTCAGTAAATTCATTTAGAAAAGGAAATCTCAAACGTTCCCATTTACCTGTTGAAGGTTCTGTCGTCTAAGGCCATGGCACTGATGGGGAGCTCCTCATCTCCATAAAACATGGTGAAGCCGTCCTCAGAGAGGGACAGGCAGGGGTGAGCAGTGTCTTCCACAAGACGGAAGAATGTACCTGCACAGGTTCACAGTCATTGTAAGAATGTGCACAAAATAGTTTGAGTCCAAATTGTTTTGTTTTCTATCTTTACAAATATCAATGATCCAATGAAATACTCATTTCTACGATATATATTCATGTATATATATTTTTAGGGAATGTTTTTGCCCTTATTTACAGAAGAGTATACGCTTGTAATGGGGAGAGGGTAGAGAAGACATGCAGCAAAGTGCCAGGACAGAATCAAACCTGTGGCTGCTGCAGGACGGGCCAAGCCTCAGGACTTTTACTTCCTATGGAATATGTTTACAAGTTTCCTAGAGCAAATGATATGAAAACTTCTTTGAGCAGGCTGATCCACGTTGCCTCTCACCTGTTGTGGAGACAGTAATGACGTCACTCCTGTCGCTGGGGCCGCCGATGTTAACCGCTCGCACAGAGATGAGGTAACGCCGTCCCGTCTGCAGCTGGATCAGACACTGACAGGTGGGCACAGCCACTATAGACCTGCAGGATTAACCAACGAGAACGAGGGCTGACATCACTTCATTTTTAAACACTTGAAATGCATGAATTATTTTTGGGTTCAATTTGATTCCTAAACCTGCACCACAGTGTGAATAGCCTTCAAATGACATCTTGTCTCACAAACAGGGACGTTAACAAGGCTCTGTCATATTTAGACCGTGGACTCATTTCAATTTGGACTGTTTAAATTCCTCCATGCAAAAACACACAGATCTTTTTAAATAAATGGTTTGACTCTTCTGTGAAATGACTCCATGACCCCAAATGTTAGGGCAGTGTTTCAGCTGAGGCCCAAAGTGCTGCAGGAGCTGGAGCTAAGAATAGATCTTTCTGGGACAGAGTGTGTCTTGATTCAGCAGCTCTTAAAACCACGGGGCTTCAAAAATCCCAAGCAAGCACTGACACAGGCTTTTGTTTATGGATGCACTGAAGCACAAACGTACTTTTAAAAGAACAGTGAGGACTGATATCGTCTCTGGCCTGTGAAATGCTGCATATCCGGTGGACTTTTCATGTCAACGAAGGAACAATTCAATCTCAAGTTTTCTTCCCGTGTCAAATCAAAGGTTCTTACTCGGTGACGCCGCTCTCTGTGCCGTCAGTCCCCACCTCACTGAGGTCCACAGTGTAGGAGTCGACAGGGTTGGTGTTCCCTGACTCCCAGCGGAGCATGGCCGCCTCTGGGCAGCTGCTACACTCCCTCTGCTTGATCACTGGAGGCGACGGCACTGAAGGAGAGAGGACTCAGACTTTTTTCTCTCCATCATCAATCATGTGAGGCCGGGGTATTTACAGAATAGAGAAAAATACATGTGAAGATGGTCTGAGGGGACAACAGAACATTTATTTCAGCTGTCACAGGTTCGTGTAGAGGTGCGGGGGGTGACATCTATTACCTGTCATGTATAAGGCCTTCTCGCTGGCCGGGCTGATGCCTGTGGTGTTGGTGGCCGTGACCCAGAGCTCGTACTGAGCATCGGGCAGCAGATCTGTCACAGTGCAGTGAGTCTCCTTCACTTTTACTTTACTCACTGGGAGGGAAGCACAGATTTCATTGGGGCTGTTACTAATCAATCATTCCAGCAAGATTCCCGCTCCAGCAGTAGATGGTGTAAACAGCAAATCTGCAGATGTGTGTCATGTGTTGTACCTTGTGGTGCACAGGTGCTGTCCACCGGGGTGTCCTCCAGCACTGGTCTGTAGTACAGCTCGTAGTACTCCACCGTGTCGTCGGAGAACAGGCTCCAGCACACGCGCAGCGACGTCTGGGTGGCGGAGTTGGGCATCTGGGGGTTGATTACTGGGGCGGATGGAGCTGTTTGCACATTGGACACATTGTTAACAAGCTCAAAGATGAGAGTGGAGGAGCAGCTTTACATCTTGTTCTATAGTTTGAGCTCAACACTGACACGTCTGTGCTCTTGTTAACACAGCTAAGCAGCTTATCTTTTCACCCCTGTCCCTTGTTTTTTTTTTGTTTATTTCTTATCAGGATTACGCAAAAACTACCAATGGATTTCCAAGAAACTGAGAGTAAAAATGGAACAGGGGTCAAGAAAGAACCCATTGAACTTGGGTGCCGATCTGGAAATTTCACAATGAGGGATGAGAGGATAAGAGATGTGATTATGTGACTTAAAGGAGAAATTTATATATTTATTTATTATATATCTGAGAAAATGATTATGTCCAACAATGAGGTTCTTTCTTCATCGGCTTGTTTGCTTGTCATCAGGGTTACACTGATTTCCATGAAATGTTGTGGAGGGACGGGGCATGACCCAAGAAAGAACCCAATAAATGTTGGTGCATTTTGGACAAATTGGCCAATCCAGGATTTTTACAATAACAAGATTTTGGGCCTTTTTCAACATTTTGATCATGAAAAGAAATCTGTCTTATTTATTCATTTCTCTAAAATGTGTAAAAACTTAATAAGAACTTTTTGTTTTCCATTATTCCTCAAAAGGGGAATTTGTGCTGTTTCCTCTTTCCCCAATTTCTCCATGTCCCGACATTTATGACTGATTTCACCTTGTCTGACCAATCATCTTTCTGCTTGTGTTGCTAACGTCAGATCGGTGCTCTGATGCTTTAAATATCAACGTATTCCTGTAATTTTGCCTTTCAAACCTGCTATTTTGAAACCCACCACCTCACATCCCCACAATTACCTTCTGAGAGTTTCCTACATTCGCCTGCCAGCTTTACTCCTACAACACCAGCAATCTGAACTGTGGTGGGTCCTGTCCTATCTTCATGTGGGTCTAAGTGTTGATGTTTAAATTGATGGGGTCTAATCACCATCATCTCATCTCGACACTCAACACTTGATAATTGACACTGGTGGTCACTGGTCACCCTGTGTATTAAAAGCTCAAAGCTGGTAAAGTAATACCACCACAGACTCGTCTGTGTTGTAATCACAGACTGTCCAACGTGTCCAACAGCTCAATGGGTCAGAGGCTACTGTGCAGGTATCCATGAGAAAATTATAAATCAGACCTGGAACAACATTGATGGAGTCCATCATGGTTTTCACGTCTGACAGATCAGCAAGAGGCGTGTCAAACTCAAGACGTGTGGACAACGTGAGGTCGACCTCGTCTTTGGCAAACTCCTTGATTCTGGTGAAGGATCAAGAAACAAGATTTAACTAAGTTGCAAAGAAGCTTGTGTCGTGGAATGATGCTCAGGATCCACTCAGTGACTTTTTCTTTCAGCCACATTTTGTGATCTTCTGCAGTGAATGGAATTTGCTCAGTTGTCATGGAAACGGAGATAAATCAAAAAGCTAGCAAGTGGATTTTTATGTCAAACTGACTTTAGCAGAGTGTAGAATTTACTTTGACACTTGTGTGTAATTGCATGACATAAGTCTGAAACTAAAGGCAAAACAAACCCTCAAACAATAATGCACTGCAGTGTCACACCGTGTGAAATACTCACTGAGCTGCATCACATTTACCTTTTCATGGTGGGCATGACTGTCTGTCAACAGAGGTGAAAATAAAGCAACTGAACAACAGAGTCAATAAAATAACCAATAATTGTAATTAACTTCCATTCATTGTACACAGCCCCAAAACCTACCCCTAACTTTAACCTGGACATCAGAAACTATGTAAGGTTATGAGGTAAAAAAAAAAAACACACACACACACACACACACCTTGAGAAAAAGCCTTTTGTCCCGGCTGCGGTGGACCTCCTGGGCCGCCTCAATGAGCTCCTTGGAGGCATCGAGCGCTTGACCACAAGCGAGCAGCTGATTGTACAGAGCCTCCAGCTTGCTCTTCTTCTCCTCCTCCAGTCCAGCCGCCCGCTCGTCATATCGCTGAGACAACGTCTGCAGCACGTCATTGTAGTGCTGCTCCAGGTTCTGCTCCTTACGGCCAAAGTTCTCCTGGACACACATTCATATGATCACAGTGGCACAGTGGATAGATTTAGACATTTGTTATGTATTAAGCAAAAGAAGGAATGAAAAAAGAGAGGAGGGGTGAGAGATCAAGGAAGGCAGTGAATGAAACTGATGGGATTCTTTGATAAGATCTGACATTTTAAATCTGTCTTTAAATTGAATCAAACTAAGTAAGTGCTCCAAAATGATCATGCACCAATAAAATAATCAAAAAGGCCATTAAATCCGTTTGACGAAAGACTTTAACGATAATTACCTCCACAGTGAGAAAGATTTCCTCCAGATGACCAGCAAAGTTCTCCATCTCGGCAACCTTCCCTTGCAACCGATTCCTGGTCATGAGGATCTTTTGCTGAAAACAACTCAAAGTCACTCGTCTACTCTTTTCTCTTTTTCACTCGAACCAGTGACACAAAACATTTCTCAGCATGTGTTTGTCCACAGTTCTGAAAAGTTTAATGTCATGTTTACTGATCGAGAGATACAACAGACAAATGTGAATGTTTAAATATACATCAATTCAGTGTCAGTGTCCCTACCTCAGTTCCTTCCTCCTTAAACACATCATCATCATCATCGCCATCTTCAGCCCCAGTGGGAGAAGGACTGTCCTCACAGGGCTCAAATCGGAGGGACTCGTTGGTGTCGACGGAGAACCTCTGCAGGGTGGTGACGTCCCGGGTCGCCCTCCTTCCTCTGTCTGGTACCACACTGTGGGGATCCATGGTGCTCGACCCGCGGCTTAACAACTCCTGGTGCTCGGCTTCCTCTGTGATTGCATCCAGTCGTCCTCCTCTGGTCTCATACAGGTCCATGAGGAGAAGGACTGTGGGACGAGAGATAGTTACAACTCATTTTAACTTTCTGATCAGTGTAACTCAACTCATTTTCATCATATTGTAAAAACAACTGCAGCAGAGTGAAAACACTTGAACCAGGACACTTGACCTGGTGAAGAACAAGCTGTACATGAAATTATTAATAGTGGCCGAGCAGCTGATTTACCTGAACAGTTCAGTGATCCAGTCTGTTGTGAACAACCATGACTGTCCGACAACTGTGAGCACTCCAGCCCTCAACCAGAGACAGAAATAGATGGGACTCAGATTACTGTCCCAGGCATGTCAAACCTCCACACTGGGAATTATCAGTTATTCATTCAATTAAGAGGTTTCACTACTCAGACATTTTTTATATATTGATAAAACTCTTTAAAAATAAGAAATTAAATGAATAAAAAAGTCTGTTTGTTAATTACCTTGAGATTTAGAGCTGGAAATCCCCGAACACGTGACTCAAAGGTTAAAGTTGAACACAATGCCATCACGATGCCTTCGCTGTACATCGGTGATAATCTACTTATTTGCTTGTTCACTGTCAACATCAGTGTAAATGAACACTGTCTTTACTGGTGAACATGTTAAAATTATATTTAAAAGAAAAGGGAATAAAGATGAAAGACACATAAAACTAAACAGAAATAATGCTTCAAAAACCGAAAAGAAAGAAAGTGGTAAAAAGGATAAAAGCGCTGGAGTACAGGCAAGTGTTAGGGCTGGTTGAAAATTGAAGTAAAGATAAATGTTTTAGGATGTTTTCAGCTAAATCATGCAGGAAAAGCTACACATTTTATTTTCATTAAAAGTGTTTAAATTATAGTTTGACTTCAGTTCTGGTGGTTACTGTTTCGTTTTTAAATAATTCCGGATATCTCTTCCGGTCCCTGAAGGCAACTGACGTCACACAAATGGCGGACGGTGTAAACAACAGCTTCCCGGAGGCCGAAGTGACAAACGTGGCTTTTTAAGATGAGTAACGCGGAGTGTGAGCGGCTGGACAGCCTGGAGGGCTGGGTGGCCGTGCGGAGCAACATATTCGAGGAACCCGAGACCTTCAAACTGGGCTTCATCGTCCAGTGGAGCGTCATCGAGTCCAAGTTCGCCGTCACCTGCCACAACCGGACGTTACAGCGGCAGCGGCGTAAAGTCCCGGTGTCCGCGGACCATGAGGTGAGCTGGGCCGGGCTCTTCTCCGTCAGCGACCTCAGACACATCCACCAGCAGTTCACCTGCGTGGCCGACGTCCTCTCCGCCTGCTTCCCGGACCTGTCCGACTTCGAGGAGGGCAACATCTGGGACCTGCTCCTCCTCAGCAGCCGGAGGTCCAGAGCCGAGGAGGAGAACGACGACGACGGCCGGGACTTCGACAGCCCGTGTCGGAAGCTGGAGAAGTATTTCAGCGCCGCCATCGACATCTGCGGCCGGAAAATAGTCCTCGACACGCTGTTCACCCAGGACGAGAAGGATGTGGAGGAGTACTTCGAAAACATGCAGGAGTTCAAGAGGAAGACGATGCAGGAGGAGATGTCCCGGGTCAAAGGTCACCTGCGACAGGTCAGTGGGATACAGAGGTTTCACAGCTGGATGACACACATGCAGGGGACACGTGTGTTTGTTTACACACACATGACTGCTGAATCACTTGTCCTGTTAATAACCCACGTCCTGTTTGTGCTCACACTGCATCACACAGAGGCCCGTGGGTGTGTTCATCTAGTGTCACATGTTTCACCCATCAAGTTGTCATTTTTATAGAAATAGTCATCGTTTGCCTCATGGCTCAACAATCTGTACAAGGAGCTGCGTCCTCTGTCCTCGACATGTTGAAGACGACACTAGCTTCCTGTGGGGGAAAGTTCGATACGAGTAAATCTCTTGAGATACTTGTTAAACCCTGAACGACATGTTTTTGTTAATCAAAGCAGATATCGACATTATACCATACCTGAGTCTGGGCCAAGGTTGAGTCTGGTTTAGATGATTGAATTTGACATTTGGAAATAATCAGGTCTGGTAGGTCACGTTGGTTTGGCAGATATTTATTTATTTTTCAACACTGCAAATTTCTGTAATCAGGGAAAATAGTAAAGCGATAACCATGCGCTGACTTCTATAGATTATATATAGATAGATTCTTGGGGGCCAATGCCAATATTAGGGAGTAAAGTATTTCCAATAACAATATATCAGGCGATATAAGCCTTAAATTAACTGCGGGTTAAATTTGGGTCAGGCTCAGGTAATTGTCTCTCAGGCTCAGACAGAAAAGTATTATAATCTAATATATATTGGCAACGTCTTAGATGTTGTTATTAAACACTTGTGACGAAGATATTTTACAGTTTAAACTTAAACATTATTACAAATAACTATGAATAAATAAGAAACTCGAATACAAGATATACATGATATATAGAATTTGAATAAAGAAAATATCTTTTCTACATTGTTTATCCTGCAATGTTCATATCGGTGCATATCAGAAAACATAAACAAAGATACTGACATGTCTATGAAAGGCTTTCATCAGCTGATATCATCTGCACTGATAAATCAGTCAGACTGTATAATAAAGGTTTTTTTTGTCATATACAATATATAGGATCTTGAACTCATTGTTATATATACAGATATATATATGTATATTTCACGTGTTCAGAAGCAGAGGGATTTATGGGATTTTTAAAAAGCTTGTGAAATCTCTGTGAGCTTTTGAATGTTACCATGCAGGAGTAGCACCACACAGTGGTGTTATAAATGTGAAACCAGACTTAACCACGACACAGCAAACTCGTGCTCGATCACTTTATAAAGTGGCTCGTTTCAGGGGAGGCTCGGTGAACTGAAGTAAAAACATTATCTATCAAAAGGAGATCATATAGAATTGAATGTGTGAGATCTGGTTAAAGAGATGCAGTAGTTTGGGTTAGGGTAACAGGTTTTCCTTCTTTCTCAGAGTGAGAAACTCATAAATGCCTTAAGACAAACCTTTTTTGTATTTGTTCTATTGTGATTTTAGGTCAAACAGCAGTATTTGGTTACCTCTGCCTAACTGCTTTGTGTCTATATGTTTAAATACCACAATCAAAGTTTTTCTAGAAATTAAAACCAAGTCAACAAGTGTTGAGGGAGGAGGTGCGTCTCATCAGGCGTTTGAGAGGACGCTCTCAGTCGCAAACTTTGCTCTAGATGTTGTAACACGACCAGCACTAATATTAGTTTTTTTCATCAGTGACTCTTTCCTGCCCTTCATGTCGATTCATTTTCTGAGAAATTGGTGAAAATGTGAAAGTGTAATCCAGATCTGCCCTTAACCTGGATCCATGCCAAAATTGAATGTACTCTTTCTTGACCCATGTCCAATCCTTCCACTGTGTTGTGTGGAAATCCAGTGTAGTTTATGTGTAACAGACAGACGCACAGGGGAAAATATAACCTCCTTGGTGGAGTTAATAACAAGGTGAAAAGGCCTTATAGTATAAATACAGCCAACATAACATCACCACATTTCAATTCTATAGATTTAAGAGTAATACGTTTTTTGTACAGAGCATTAGCAACATCTCTTCCATCCAATACAACAGTCCTACTGTAAAAGATTCTTTATGAAGATCATCTGATGTGTTCTGATGTAATGTCTGAGGCTGTATGTGTGTCTTTGCATTAGACGTGATGAGATCACATGACAAAGAAAAAGTCTTCTCATAATCTCATTTGTCCATTAATACCGACATAAACTCAGCCTGTTCCGCCCTGTGCCCTGCAGCACTTCACTCACTGAACAAGCTGCACACAGCTTCTGAGGTGTGGAGGTGCTTGAAGCCCTCGATATAAAATGGTTTGTTGACGTGAGGAAACAAATTGGCTTGAATTCAGTGGTGAGTGTCAGAGAAATTATTCCAGTATTCAGTTGCATTGAAACACAAACCTCTGACCTCACCAGTCATCCATCAGCCCACCGCGTTTTGGAAGTTGTATCGTGAAAGGTCTAATTTCTATTGTCATATTTTCTGCTCAGATGTTATTTTTTTGAAACACAATTCAGTGTAAAACCTTTTTTCTTCCGATTCCTCTGAGAAATGAAAAGATCACCTCCTGCAGAGGAAAAGGCTTGAAGCAGTGAGCTCAGAGTGAACCGAGGTAATGGTGTTTTTCATTTTCACAGCTGCTGCAGAGTCACGGCAGCGCAGACCGAATGGTTGCGCTGCTCGGCATCTATGACGAAGAGGACACGGCCTACCAGGACCTGGTCACTGTGGCCACCACCTTCTTCCATTACCTGCTGCAGCCTTTCAGGGACATGAGAGAGCTGGCCTGCCTCTACAAGATAGAGATCCTGGTAAATACAGCCTTCTATTCAGGCTTCTTTGTGGGATGTGAAAAGTGATCATATACAAAGGAAGCAGCTTTGTAAGTTGTTTTGAAATCTAAATCCTGAATAATTCTCATCAGGCACTAATGACTTGTACATATACACACAGATACATATTTACAGCCCCTGAACATATTTTAAACTTGTGTAATGCTACAGGATGACAGCTCTTTTATATGCTCACAGGAAACACTGTCTCCCTCTCACCAAAACAAGTTGTGGCCTTCGTTGAAAATCTAATACTCGTATGTACAATATTGATGTGACGCTCGCAAACAATCAAAGTCCTTCAGGGGAACCAAGTTGTGGGCTACAGGAGCATTCCTTTTATAATTGCACCTAAATTTAAGAGCCCTTAAGAAAGTGCCACGGGGCAGATACTTGATATAAGAGTCTAGAAATTACTAATAATTACTAACTAATTTAGTTCTGTTAAACCTAGTCCACACATGCAAAAAGAAAGAAGTCCAAGTTGGATTTAAATCCAAATCATTGTCAGAGGGATAATAATGAGGAGTGGCTTCTGACTGGCTCTCGGAAAGGAACGGCGCCATAAGATCTGGCTGCCTGGAGAGAAATTCCCATCACTGATGTACAGTATGTCACTGGGTGGTAACTTCCAGCCTTGGCTGTTTAATTTGTCGCCACTCAGCCTAATAAACCACCAGTCAAAGGCCTGTTTCATCTCTGCAGCTTTCCAGAAATGATTTTGAAATAAAGATAGATTATAGATAGATGCCATGTATAATATCAACAAAATACAAATATTTGAAACATTCATGAGAAGAGACGTTGTGTCTAACATCGATGGAGACGTGCATCACTTTTTAAAACGTGTACGCATTAGTTTATGTGTATGTGGGCTAAGTATCTGTAAGAAGTTGGCATTAAATCACTGAGGGTAAAGTCGTCCACTGTTTCACTCCTCGCAGAAGTCTTTGGACTTTGAGGACTTGGGTCCTAAGAGAATTGCAGCTCTGGAGACGGAGGCGGAGGAGTGGAGGACGAAAGCTGAAGACGCTGTTGCCTCGATCCAGGACATCACTGTCACCTACTTTGCACAGACTTCAAAGGCGCTGGCTGGTACGAGTGGCTGTGTTTATTTCTCTTATTTGTGCGAGTGGATGAATTCATTAATGACTCAAAGCACAGAGGAACAAGATGTTGTGGAGTCACAAGTTGTATTGCAGCTGCAGACATAACTTATTAATGATATTTGTGATCTAATATTCATGTCAGTAACAAGTCTGAACAAAATACTTATCCCCTTTCCCCCAGTATTAAAAAAGGGGGGGAAATAAATGTATATTTAAATTGACCCTTAATAAGTAATGATTTGTCTGTAGAAGACTGTTCTGCCTGTAGTTTGCAAGACAATTCACTATTTGGAGGGTCATTCCCTCTTATGGTACTTCACCTTATTTTAAATTATGGGGAAGTATAAGTAACTCTGGGGCTCCAATATTCTTTCAAATGTGTTGTACTTAGCATAGACCTTAAATTGAATTCATTAAGATCTTACAAGGGTCTCAAATTTAACTTTTGCTTTTGTCTGACGCAGTGATACGTGACTGACCCTCGTGTCCGTACATTTGCAGGGATGTTAAAGCAGATGGAGGAGGACAAGTGTCGTTTTGGATCTGCTGCCTGGGCGTCCGCTGTTCCTCGACTGGAGAAACTACGCTTCCTCTTTGCCAAAGAAACGCTGCAGCATATGAGAGCCGCAGAGATGTGCCTCAACCGCAAGAAAGACGGCATCAGAGAAAGGGTGTGTGCATCTTACACTTCAGTTTTTTTTTTTTTTCTTAAACAACAGTTTGTCTTGTGGTTCTGTTATTAGTCATCTAATTCCATACTGTTGTGTTGGACTTAGTTGTGGCTGCTCCAGGCTTCCGTTGTCATTCAGGTTTTTATTTCCAGTGTGAGCACTGCTTTTGTAGTGGTTGTGAATCTGACGTGTGTACTTGCCCCAGTGTGTCGTTCACTTGGTATTCCAGTGTGATGTGAATCTCTTGCTGCTGGAGCTGTTTGATCTATTTATAAAGCCTCTCTCCTAAAACACAAAATCCCCTCGATACACCCCCAAAACCTGCATGCATGAAAAAGTGAGCGTGTCTGTTTGTACTTGCTCAGAACAACGTGCCAGTCGGACACATATCTGTGACTACAGGGGTGTATATACTTCTAATGTTGGGATCACAGTATTTTGGGGAAACTGTAGTGAATGTACTCACTGTTATAAGGTGTCGTGCTGCGAAGAGAAGACAACACCCTCAGCACCTTCATGCGGCTGCATTATTCATCCGATTAAGCGTCTTAAAAAATCCGGTTTCGGGATGCTGGCGGAATGTACCACTGTGAAATCAACATGTGCAGCTCACTGACATCTGCGTGAGCGTTTATGATGAGATCAGTAAACTACACCTACTCACATTCTTGTAGCTGCAGAAGTCAGTAGCAGTGCGCAGGTGTTTAGTGCCTGCAGGTGTCACAGCCTTTACATTTACTGTGTGTATGTATGTTTGAAATGAGCTGCATACATGAATAATCCCAAATGAATTCAATCACTGCAGCTCTTGTCATATTCAAACAGCATGTGTGTTAATATTTGACATAACTCGAAGCATTTAAGGACATAACAGTGTTTCAGCTCATTAATTACATATTCAACATTAATGCTTTGTCTTATAAGTAGCTGTTGCTTTCAGCTCATTTCATCAGTGTGTGTTTGTCAGATTTAGCTTTTGGTGCATGTATATTCAACTGATGAAATCAGGGACTTCTTTTATAAAGGTCCACCTTTCATATTATGTAAACTGTAGATTCTTCAACATGCTCGGCAAGGGAGGGGGGAGGAGAGGGGAAACCTGCAGCTTCACCACTAGATGCCACTAAATCCTACACACTGGTCCTTTAAAATGTATTTATCATGTTCAGGGACGAGAGCCCAGATCTGGAGTCAGTTCACAAAAAAGCATCGTGTTCACAAGCAAAAATGAAAGCCAGCAGGCGAATGAGAAACATAGATGTTATGAAAAAGAGGATGTGGTGGATATTAGGTTTGGTATTACAGCTGACTCTTGATAGTTCATTCAAGGTGTCTTTGAACAGACAGAAGAGGGTCCCTCAATGCAACTGCCTCACTGTCTCTCTGAGAGGAGTGTATCAAGTCTAAGTCTCCTAAATATCAGTCCCCTAGACCTGTACATACAGACGTACATAACAAACCTCCACCTGTAACTTGACATTTTGTTGTTGTTGTGTTTTGGTGCAGCTGAGCAGCCTGTCCGGCAGAGGTCAGAGGCAGAGAGCTGATTCCAGGTCTGCGTCTGACGATGACCAGCAGCCGGACAGCGTGGACCAGCTGGAACTGCAGTTCTATGAAATTCAACTGGAACTGTATGACACCAAGTTTGAGGTTCTAAAGAATGAGGAGCAGCTGCTGATGGCTCAGATAGACACAGTGCGACGGCAGATTAAAGGTAACACAGTGATGTAGCTCACGGCTGAACAGTAGGAGGGAGAAGTTTGAAATTTAACACCATCACTCAGGAACAAGAGGAGGAACTTGACTGTTTAACGGAATAACGAAGATTTACAGAAGAAATTAAAACAGAAATAAGGAAACAAATATAAAAAATATGCAATTATAGCTTACAGTGTCATTAATTAAAAGTTCCACACTGTTTCTCAGATTCATTACAGTGCTGATGTGTTGGATCACATCATGTTCAGGGGCGTTTGTTTTCCTGGCCATGGGTTTTTCTTTGGGGAAATACTTTGCTCATGTAAATATTTCTCTAATTGCTCCTTCTGGGACATTGATGACACAGTGATGTTTGCTTTGTGTGTTGTGTGCATGCTGTGTGTGTGACTGGTGTCAGGTTTATTTCCCAGACAGAAAGCAGGAAAGTGCCCTCTACCAGTAAAGGAAGCAGGATGACAGAAAACAGAGATGTGAATGAAAGGAGGAGTTTGTGGCATATTTCACAGTTTATTACTTCTACCCAGGAGGTTCTGTTGCGTTACACAAATCTTTTGTATCTGGACAAATGGGTTGATCCAGATTTAACATGACACTATCACTAATTTCTTTGGGAATAATGGATCTTGATGAAAAAAATCAGGCATCTTTAGTGGACTGTGCAAGTTAGGGCTGATCCAGTACCTTCTACCTTCCCATAAGCTTTGTATTGACACAAGTTTCCTTGTTGAGAAGTTGTTTCGGGAATAATTTCATAACATGAATTATTCCCTGGAAAATCTTTAAAAAAATAAAAATAATAATAACCAGATCTGAGCCAAATTTGAGTGGGTTCTTTCTTGACCTGTGTCCCATCCTTCTACTCAGTTTTGTGGAAAACCGTTCAGTAGTTTTTGGTTAATCCTGCTGACAATCAAACCAAAGGACCAGAGAGGAAACATAACACAATAGTTTCCATGTTCTGTTTTGTCTGACATCATTGTTGTGCCAGAACTGAGTGTAGGTATTCCATATTTCAAACACACAAACACAGGGGCAGTTTATTTGTATGAGTTCCCGGTGAGGAGCTGTCAGAGTGACTGGACTGCTTTCGTGTTTCAGAGTTGAAGGAGGAGGTGGTTTACTACGACGTGTGTGAGGATCCAGATGAGCTGCAGAGCTTGGTCCACACAGGGATCCACCAATCAGACCCTCCGGCTGTCAGTCACCTCAAAAGACGCCTACAGACCCTGGAGGCCAAGAGAGGCAACATCTGCGCCCGGCGAGCTTATCTCCGCAACAAAAAGGTGTGGGCAAGCAGCGCTGACATTCACTTCCATTTTCAGCAGAAAATTCTCTCCCCCATTAAAATTATTTTTAGTGTGATTTTGGTGCTTATCGAGGGCAAACATATTGATCTGTGAGTAGTCGACAGGAAATAGTGGAAAATGTCAATGAAAAACTATGGAGCTTTTCTTTCCTCCTCTTAATCTGCTTCCTGTCTCCATTTTCTGAGGTTTGTTTTCTGTAAATATCTGTATTGTTTTATTTTTAGCTCGCTGAGTAGTCTAAGAATATTTGGCAGGTGTTTGCTCCCTCTCCTGGCTGCTCATTTGTTTGATTAAAAAGCATTTTATTGCTCAGAAGAATTCCCTGATTAAAAGCTCCCACAATCCCACCCAGTAATCCACAGGGAGCAAGAGTCACAGGCATGATTATTTAAAAATGTTGCAAAAAAGATGAAAACGGTTAATGTAAATTTAAAAAAAACTCAACTGTGAAGGACGTATTTCGTGCAAACATCCAAATTCTAGTTCACTTCTTTGCACCTGTCAAAGTCTTATGTGTTTTTTTATGTGAATATTAAGTGTGTTCATCTTCATGTGTGTTTTTAGGATCAGTGCATGGATGCTCAAGAGCAGAAGCATCAGGCGGCCCAGCAGAGCTCCACAGTTTTCAACCAGCATCATCAGGTCCACCTGGTGAGTTACCGACCCCACAGACACTGTGCTGCTCCGGCAAAATGAAACTGTGTCCAGACCTTTCTCTCCAACACCTCTCACTGTCTCCCTCTGTTTTCTGCAGAAACGAGAGAAGAGGAAAGAGGAGGATCAGAGGAGGAAAACGTGGGTGGACCAGGAGCGAGAGAAGACTCTGAGCAGATTACGATCCTTCAGACAGGTAAAGCTCTCTCATCTTCTCCTGGTTCACACCCCCCCTCTGCAGCTTCTCCTCTGTGAAATAAACCCCAGAGACTCCTGATTCACACCAGGACAGTAGCTCACCTCAATGTTATAGATAGTATTTATATTTCCATGTTTATTTATACATATTTATAATTTCTGTTCAGCTCTTTGAAGGAAGTCGGATCTTGAGGCTCTGTTCAGTTCTCAGAGATGCTCTTCTCAGGATTCCTCCAATTTAGAGACTTATGATAAATGTTTCTGTTTGATAATAAATGTATTGTTTAATCTTTACTCCACATTTCATGTTCTCTGCCGTGCTCTGCTTCACACTCATATCATTCTGCTGAAAAATGTCTGTCAGGTTCACTCTGTCTTTCTAAGAAACTGATGGACGTTGATGTCAGTTGATCAACCAAATCGTTTCTTGTTTTAAAACATCGAGCAGATTTCGTGCACGTTCCCTCTGTCACTTCAGTTTAATCTCAAGCGACTGTTCAAAACATCAGACCGTCGACAGTCTCTAACCACTTCCCTGCTCTTTTACCATCTTCTTCCAGAAGCGACAGGGCCAGTACATCCTGAAAACTCCTCACTCCAGGCTGTCTCCTTCAGACATGGCCCCGTGTCCCTCCCAGCCGCTGTCCATCATCAGCCTCGACCCCTCTCCCTCATCCGAACTTCCCTCCCTCCCCTTCCGTCCTGAGCCCAGACGCAGTAAAGCCTCCAAGAAACGGCAGCCTAAAGACATCCCCGTCCAAATCTACTCTGCTCCGCCGCCTCCATCAACAAATATCCCTACTGCGCCTCCTCCCCCACCACCTCCCCCACCCCCTCCCCCACCGCTGCCCCCTGCCGTCCCTCCTCCACCTGCCCAGGCTTCCTCTGAGGACACACCAAAGCCTCTCAGTGAAAACGAGGAGCCCCCTTTCCCAGCCAAGAACACACTCAAGCAAAATATAGGTGAGAGTTGAATAGGTTTGTACATAAAGTATAAGATTTCAGTTTTACGTGTCCATTTAAAATACAATATAGATGGAGGAGAATGTGTCAGACTACAGGGAAGGTCGTGTGGGTTTAGAGTGGAGCGTGCGTGTGCGTGTGCGTGTGTGTGTGTGTGTGTGTGTGTGTGTGTGTGTGTGTGTGTGTGTGTGCGCGCACAAAGTGTTCTAAAATCCCAATGTCCCCCATGAGGCCAGAGGAGGCATTTTACCTCAGTGTTTGTCCTGCTGATGCACACATGGCTCCAGAGACACAAAAATCCAACATGACTTCATTTTTCTGAGCTTCTGTGAAATGGAGGAAGCTTGTTATTATAAATAGAGATGGAGCACCAGTGAGAACACGGAGAAAGCTCTGTGCAGTCTGCATCAGCAGTGACGTCAAAAGTAAATGCCTTCTTAACTTCTGTCGTACCTAAAGTGTCTTTTCTCGTCATCTGTTTTACTACAGGAACAATGGATGAAGTGTTGGCCTCACTGCAGCGCGGACAGATTCGGCTTCGAAAAGTCCCTGATCGCAAGACAGCGCCCTCTGCTGATGACCCAAGGAACAGTCTGATGTCTGCCATCCGACAGGGTGTCACCCTGAGGAAGGTGAGAACAGGGAGCACACCAGAGCAAATCTGATAACTCAAACAGACCACAATTTACCAATGATAATTTATTGCAAAATAAATAATATATACATGTATTCCTTAAACTTTGTTTGGTGAACACGGCAGAAACCCACTAATGTGTGACAGGAGTGAAACCTGGGATTAACTTGACTCTTGTCGTGCTGTAGGTGGATCCTGCACGTGCAGAAGTCCCGAGCAGCGGAGACAATGAGCTGGAGCGCAGCATCAAAGCCGCCATGATGAGGATGAAGAATGTAGCAGCCGACTCCGATGAGGACGACAGAGGTGAAGAGGACACGCAGAGTGTAGACTGGGACAGCTGAGAACACACACGAACACACACACACACACACACAAAGACACACACACTGGTCTTGTTCAGACCTGGTATTAACATCTGTCCTCAGAGATCTGATCACAAGTGGACAGCGTTCTGTTGGTCAGTTCACACCTGACATCAAACTACTGTGTCTCCTGTGATCACATCCCCGCTCTATATGCAAATAATCATATAAATCAATTCTGATTACAATGAACGATGTTCTTACAGAGGGAGTTTACAGATGTGTCCGACGACATTTGTGTGTGGGTGAAAGCAGGAGAAGGAGAAGGAGGTAGAGGGAGAGAGAGGAGGAGGAGGAGGAGGAGGAGGAGGAGGAGGGAGGGGCTAAATTAATGAACATGCAGGTCTGCTGTGAAGAAAGATTTGATCAAACTGAAAATCCAACATTGAGTGATGGTCAGTGGTGATGGTCAGTGGTGATATCATGGCGTGTAATCACTGACAAGTGTAAAAAACTCAGAGGACGTCATGTGTGGCCCAGGACGGATTTACGTTCACAGCCTCTCTGAATGTCTCAGGACACGTTTGGTTGCGTTCAGACCTGAACTTAAAGCTGACCACTCGTGATCAGATGTTAGTATCAGGTCTGAACGGGGTCACTGATGAAGCTCTTCTCTTACAATGTTCTGATTCTGTTTATCCATGTTGTGTCGTGGCCAAATTTTATAAAAATCTGCTGAATGTTATTATTGTTATTATTTAAGCTCCTGGATAAACGGGACGTCGCTGCGTCATAATCTGTGGGAAGAACTTCTCTCCTGTCTGCAGGAGTGTGTGTGTGTGTGTGTGTCTCCTCGTCCCTGTGGCACTTCACACAAACTGGCGGTCACATTTATTTAGTTATTAATCGATGATGTCTGATCATGACTCCGGGTCGTTCCGGTCACTTTAACCCTGATGTCCTGGCTGCACGCGTCACTTCGCGTGTTGTGTGTGAACTGAAAATGTTGGATTATTTTTCTGCTTTTCTTCTTCTGGCCTTAACAGAGTCGTCTGTTGAACTTTTTGCATTTGTCTTTTTAAAATGGCTCTGAGATGTTGAAATACCTTTAAGACTGCTTAAACCAGAAGCCAATCAGGATTTAATCTCCCATAAAGCAGTTGGTTTGCAGAAATCTCAAACTGTGCGAATGAGGTGTTGCGCTTCAACGCTCATTAAGGAGAAAAACCAAGCGGTGGCGCAGTGTGTAAAATGATTGTGTGTCTCCCAGCGCTCTGTGTGAAGGCTTTTTGTGAGACTGTCGCACAGCAGGGGAGGCCTGTGCTGCAGGCAGAGATAAACACCCCATCACACTCGACTCCACCATCACAAACACTCAGTCGTTTTCACAATGCTGAGTCTAAACTCGTTATTTTGAATGTAATTAAATCCGAACAATTGTTTTGTTGATTTAAACTTCAGCACAAGGGCTACATCTAACTGGGTTTGTAGTTGAAGTATTTTGTGACTAAACAATAGAAGAGTAATGTTGTGAACTGCAGCAGTGCTAATTATTTACAATATAGAAAACAGGTCTAAAGTCTGTTATTGTTTGTACTTGAGTCCATGTGATGCACTTGTCCCTGTTTCTATTTTTTTGTGAAAGAAATGTTTGAATGTTTTCAGTTTAACTTCGTTGCAATTGTTACATGATCTGTTATTTCTTCCTCTAACGTCATAATTTAGAAATGATGCTTAACCATTTGTTTAGTAACAGAGACGTCGTTCTCATGATGGAACTGCTTCTAGAACAACATGCTGTCAGGTTATTGTTGACCTTGATGACCTTTGAACCTGTGACTCCAGGTTATACTGTATCACCACAGACGGTAAATAAAGATGGACGACGTGACCGCTCCCAAAGGTGAAGCCAAAGAGTCTCAATCGCCCTCTGGTGGCTGACTGCAGTATAGATCATCAACCCCATATGCGGGATATGGACTAAACTAAAAAGTAAAAGCACACGTCAAATAATTTCTTTAAGGTTTCTGTCATCTACTGAAGCTCTTATCACACTCATGTATGTTCAAGTGTTTTTCTGATAAGTTTGGTTTTAATAACAGGATGAAATGTTATGATTGACAGGTGTGACTGAAATTTTAGATTCCATTGATGATAGCGGGAGAAAGTGGAGACACGTCGTCCATCTTTACAAACGGTCTTTCTGTATCATGCACAAGAGATGCAACACTGAGCGGTAAACAGCCTGAAATAGGTTGCAGAGGAAATGACAATATTGCTGCACTTTGATTTGAAACTTGTGATTCTGCTAAGATATGAAAGTTCCTCCAGCGTGTGGCAGACGAGCTGTGGACGAACGGCGGCTGAGGCTGAATCTGACCTGTACTGCTGTGTTTTAAAAATAAATGAACACATGAAAGATAAACTTGGTCTTTGCTGTTCCCTGATCTCCACCCATCCAGGAGGCGGTGCCTCGTCCACCTGTGAACTCCGGTGAGTGTGCCCACATGACGATGACTCATATGGTGACATCTGTCTCTTGCAGCCTGCAGTGTTGCTCTCACACATTTCTCCTGCAGTGACAGCTCAGACGTCCCCAGCCAGTTGTGACACGTCTGTACGACTTTGTGTTCTTAGAGAACAGCGGAGGCTGCGGCCGCTCCTCGACGCCGTCGTGTTTGCACGGCCTCCGTCTCCCTGCTTCTGTCTGGGGGTGTAATCAATTGGTAACATCCAGGTGATTCAGACGGAGGACAGCTCATGCACCTTAGGGAAGACACACAGCGGCTCTTTAGACAAACCTGCCTGCCGAGCATCAACGTGAAATTCCGCAGCCAGTTACTATGGTAACAGGGAGTCTCGGTGGTAGTGGCCTGTAGTGCCATCTCTCTCTCTCTCTCTCTCTNTCTCTCTCTCTCTCTCTCTCTCTCTCTCTCTCTCTCTCTCTCTCTCTCTCTCTCTCTCTCTCTTTCAGACACATGTACAGAGCAGCATAGTCTCTTAATGATGTTTCACCAACTCGCCCACTCATCACCAGTCACACAATGAGTGTGGCTAAAAGAAGTAGAGCAGCGAGCAATGAGCCGCAGAGAGAGAAATGCTGCGACGCTGCCATTTGAGTGAGATTAAGTATTGAATTAAGACAATTATTTTAATTATTGTTTCACTAATAGTTTTCATTTAATGTGAATTTTAAAAAGTGACTCACGATGACGTTTCTTTTGTCTGAACAAGAGTCAAACAAAACACAGAATTTGTTCTCTATATAATCAAGGTGAGCCCAATCCATCAGGTGTGAAAACTTTTTTACAGAACAAACAAAGAAAAGATGAGCACTGATGTTTATATTTTGATATTTGTCAACTAGTCAAAGAAGCTGGAACCAGAAAATATTCTCCAAATTAATTACCAATGATTTGACAATGGATCTGTGATTTTAACAAGCTGAAACTTTCTGTGGCTCGTTTTGTCTGTTTGATTATCAAAGTAAATATCTTAAGATTCTGTTGCAGTAAAAAAAAAATCATCTCCTTTTCACAGGATGGACTCTTTTTTTTGCTTGTTAATTTTCAATCAAACTCACTTAATTGGCCAATTTCCCAATGATTTCAGTCTGTAAGTATATTGATTAAATCACCTGCGCCACACAGATGGACCCTGAAGGTGGAAATGAGTCTGACTGGTCGAGCAACGACCGACTCTGGGTCTAATTAACAAATGAATTGACGTGAGGTGGCTCTGGGTGTAACGTCCGTCACTCACACTGTTTTTTAAGGGAGGAAGGGGCGTGAGTGGGTTTAAGTTGCCACGGCAACATGTCCACAGATCAGCTGTTGTGTGTTGGTTGTTGTGAGAGCGTTGGAGTTCAAGATTTTTTCCTTCAAACAAGCTCATATCGTCTGATTTGTTTTAATCTTACTAAAACTGATACGTGTCAGCCACTGTGATTAAGTCCCACCTCGTCTGCTCTGGGTCTGTGCGTCTCTGTGAGGATTACAGTTATATTTAGTGCTATGTAAATCAACATCAGAGGGAAAGACGTGCGGTGGTGGAGCTTCTGTACTTCAGGCTCGACGGGATGCTGCTCTGGCGCCGCAGGTTCATTCCAACTGACTTAGCTTCTCCTGCAGGAAAAACGCCTGAAGACTGTCACATTGTCAGGCAGCTTATGTGTCAGCTTTAACAGATTCTTAGTTTCCTACAATAATAATCTGCAACTAAATGGGGATTAGAGGAAACCACCCGTCTCCTCTCTGTGGAGCTTGAGCCAAAAAGAACCAGAGTTATGGCACTGTGGTTTTATGCGTTCACCAACCACTGCAGGTTCAGGCTATAAATTATTTTTTGACCAATGAAATCTTATCAGTCTTATCAAGATTTGAAGACATTCCTTAAAGGCAGAGTTGAGATATCATGTTCAAGAGGCGAAAGCATTTTGAGAAGCCACCGTGACCTTGACATTTGTCCTCATCAGTTAATCTGTGAGTCTTAGAGATTGTTTTGACATTTTTTACAATGTTTTTACAAAACCACCATGATCTTTGACCCCCGACATCTAATCAGTTCATCTCTGAGTCCAAGTTTGTACCAAATGTAAAGAAATTCACTCGAGCAGTTGTTGAGAGATTGAGTTCAAAAGAATGCAACAGATGGACAACCTGAAAACATAATTCCCCTAAAAAAGAAATAACACACACACACAAACTCAGCATTGTAATTAAACTAGATTTTAACAGTTGTCAGTTCTATTGTACAATATTGAACAGGAGTCACAAAAGTGCACAAGAGGCATTGGTTCAAAAGGAAGGATCATACATTGTGGTGTTCAGGTTTTGGTGAGTTATGAACAGTTAAAGTTAAACAGAGAGAGAAATAAGCAAAATTTCCCTTTGTAAATATCTCAACAACAAAAAAAGACTCATAACATCATAGTATTACCCAGTTTTAAATATGTCACCACAACTTGTGCTTTTGATTTCATATGCACCGTGTTTCAAGATGAACGTCCCAAAAGCAGCTGTGACACTTGAATCCTCCACTGGATCAGTTCGTATATTTCCTCTAATATTATACATGAGTGGAGACGTTGGGTTCAGGAAACGTTCACTTACTTGGTATGTTCTAGAAACACTAGTTGCAGAGAGGCACCAAAAATAAATAAATATGTAAAACAAAACAAGAATCTTGACGGGGTTTAGTGAAAAGGCCCACGCCGTCTAAATGTTCACCCAGTCGAGCAACACCAAGTCCCCTCACCCAGATATAACCACCACCATAACAAAACCTAGTGTGTAGGAAGCACATCAACAACCTTGGAGACAAAGATCTTTGTTCTACAAATGGACAACAATACTATTGCACACACAAAGTCCTTAAAACACTACACTACACTCATGGCAGGACGGGTTCCTACAATTAGATTTGGATTTGTCTGAAGAAAAGCTCCTGAAACCAGAGAGATTTCCGTCTTTATGAAAACATGATGGATTCCTGCAGCTCAGACGAGGTTTTTGTGCAAACACCTGTTTTGTCGTTTGATTTCATTAATTGACGGATTAACATCCATCCACGACCCCGACATCCTCGGGATGGGGCTCGTCTGCCTGTGTTTTCTTTTCATCTCTTTATTGGTGAGGTTGGTTTTTTATTGTTTTATTATTATGGTGATGGTCATCACTTTGGCCATTTCTCCTCGCCAGGTGGATTCACACTCACCTGGAGGCACTTTGTGTCACGGCCATTGTGTATTTATATATATTTATATTTGTGCATATCATCTCATGAGTACAATTTGTCTTCTAACACACCTGAGATAGACGAGAGGCAACAGCGAGGACAGTCCGTAAAAGATTTCATGTCTAATTCTCTGAGGGGGGGCACAAGGATTAATACCAATTATAACAGCAGTGATGCAGAACATCATTGTCTTTGTGTGTTGTTCATTTTTAGCCCTTTAAGTCCCCTCCTCTGCTCTAAGCTCCGACTGCCAGTGTAGAAGAAAAAACACAGAGTCTAAGAACCCTCCACCAGCTTCTTAAAGCCCCCCCCCCCACAGAAACGAATAAGTTAGCTCAAAGTGTGACTCTTGATTTAGTTTCTGAACGCCAGCACAGAATGTTGCATGCCGGCCTTCACGCTGCCAGTCTCTCTCCTCAAAAACATCTTTCTCACATGGTAGTGTTTATTAGAAGCCAAAGCCGATAGTTTCTGAGTGGACGTCACCTTGGTGGGGGAGGAAGTGCCACATAGTTTCTGCCCTGAAGACGTACTGCAGTGAATCTTTCGTACCTGACCTCTGACCCTTTCCGCTCTGTGCCACTTTTCTCAATTATCAACGCCGAGCTTGGAGAGTCCCTGCCTGACCTCGTGCAGCTCGTCTATCTTTCCATCCAGAATATCCATGAACTTCTTCAGCTCGCCCTTCATGCTGCCCTGTTTTTGTTGACTGTCGTCTATGTCCATTTGAAGACCCTCTATACTCCCCACCAGTTCCTTATTCTTCGTCTCTGCAGCCTGCGGACAGACATTAGGGGAGAGAAGTGATTACAGTGCACAAAATAAATAAATAAAAAATGGTGGATACAGGAATATTAAATCAAAATCTTGTAGAAGAATAGGTACGATCTTTAGCCTTGATCTGAGCAGGGATGCCAAAAGAGAGTTTCTTTTATTTACAGCCTCTCACAATAAAAACTAATTTCAGCATTCATAAGTTCTAAAGCATTTCAATTCAAATTGAAAATGATCAATTTGCATTGAGTTCTACCGAGGCCTTACAGAGAGGAACCATATTTTTCATGGGTAAAGGGGGGGGTTAGAGAAACTCTTTCAGACTTGCCGGCGACACGAGTGACACGTTAATGCCAAAGATACCATGGAAGGGAGGGGTTTAAAATAGGAGTGCTAAATAGGTGTTGTGCCTGCATGACTGTGTCGCCCAGCTGACGTCAGAAACCTGATCTCCACATCTTTAAATAGAGGGGAGCGGTGACCACAAACAGGTGGAGGAGGTCATTTTTTTAAAAGTTGTTTAGAAACTGTTTCTGCAGGAAAAACAGCAGAAAAGTCATTTTAACAGTTTTTTTTAAAACTTCTAACATTCAGATCAACCATCTCTAGTTTGGCTCAGTTTTGGTGTCAGGCCTCTTGAAAAGACATGGATATTATCATGAATCTCATTATCTGCGCTTCTCCTCAGTTCAGACAGTTGGTTGCATAAACTCCTGCTGCAGCCGGTGCTGTTCACACTGTCATTCATCCAACTGGCTGTTGCAGAAACAAACCAGGCAGTCGAGCTTTGTGAAGCACAAGAACTTCAGGCATGCCACTGTTGGTTTTATTTCCACCCCCCCACCCCCACCAGCACATGCACAACAGCCTGGATGATAAAATCCTGCTCTGAGTCAGAACTGGGCGAGATGAGCGTCACTGTCAATGCACTTCATGACAGACTTGGCACTAATGGTGCGTACAGTCATTCACCGGGATTGGCACTTGTGTTTCTACTGAAAGTCTGATATTACACAATGAGGAATGAGCCTTGAAGAACAGGAGCTCTTTGTTACGAGGAATATGGGAGGAGATGGGCGGGAATCCATAATGTTCAAGGATTTTTGGCAACAATAGATTCTCACGCACTCACGTTAACATCACAGACGTAACTCATACACCTAAAGTAATACTGTAGGACTTGTTGGGTGAAGCCGTCAGCAGCGCTCACAAACAACTTCAGCTGTTTTCGGTGTCAGCAAAACAGATTAAATCTGCGTCGCGAGAAAAATAATAAGCCGTGACAAAGACGTAGTGTCTCTGCGTCACGGACAAGGAAATGAAAACCTTTTCAAAGACGCAATGATCCACTCAGCATTGTTCAGGGCTGGACCTTTATTAATACATACAGTAACTGCAATGTGCGTTAGTGAGACATGTGATAGGAATGTTGTATCACCAGCCCCCAGGCAGAGCAAGGAACAGGAACTCTCACTCTACCTTCATGTGAAAGTGGTGCCTCACTGCGACAGCCATCACATCCTCCTGTGGGCTGTAAGCTCCGGGTCTACACAGCTCTGTGCTGTGCTTTAATACTCTGCTGTAAATCTCACCAGAGAGAAATGTGGGTTTTCTGCGTGCTTTGAACATACCTGCAGTTTTTCAGTGATGCTCTCGCACTCTGCCATGAGCTGAGGGATGATCTCTGCCTGCTTCCTCAGGTTCTCCAGCTCCTGGAGAAACAGAACAAATCATATCTGATCGTTCTTTCTACAGTTTTCTTAAGAAGTCAAACATAAATACTGATAAGTTCATACGGTTTGACGGTGTAGGAATTAAGCTTTTTGCTATTTTTAAACTGAAAATTAAATGAACATGATCATCTAGATCAGAAAGTGTGTTATCAATGAATAAGTCAAGAGGAGTATGAATCATGCACACTCAGTACTTGACAGTTTGGAGACATTTCAGTCAATAATACAACATAAAGAGCAGCTAGTGCTCTGCAATATACCCAAAGATGATATTAAGATAAAAATTTACATATCATTTGATATCACTAATTATAACAATTTTATCTGAGGTCGATCCATTGTGTTACACGTCCTCACTGTGCTTCCACAATGCAGTAATATATCGATATATTTTGGACTTTTACTGTTTGATTTAAGCAAGATAGAAACTACAGGACAGACTTCCATGAAACTTAGTGGAAGGATGCAGCATGGGTCATGGAAGAAACCATTACATTTTAGTGCAGAATTATTTTTCTTTTCCACTTGCATGTTGAGGGAAATGATATCTGAGTGTGTGCAGTTTGAATATGAGGGGACTGTGTGGCCTTGACAGAGATATAGGCTTCAGTGAGTGCCATTCTAGATATTGTTTTATTGCCCTGGTAGCAGCAATGCAAAGTAAGTACATGCAAATAAAAATGGGTGAAAACAAAAGACTAGAATGAAAAGTGAATATTCAGCCTCCGCTCTTTTTCTTGTGCTTGCATGTTTATTCTCTCCTCAGTTACACGTCTTCTCCTTCTGCTGCTTCAAACCAAAAACACCACGTTCAGTTTCATAACATCGGTTAAAGCTCTTCTCACCATGTAATAATGAGACGAGTCTTTGTCGTCACCTGCAGCAGCTTTGTTCTATTAGTTCACGTCTGGCCAGCTCAGGGTCAAGCCTTCATGATTCATCGGCACGTTTTTAATTGGAGGAGTTGTGCGTTTCTAGGAGTGGGTGAGTCACTCGATAGACGAGCCTCTGTGGGCCGACTGTCGTATCAGTGCTCTGCAAACAATGAGACTTCCTGCTGCAGACCCCTCCGGTCAGCGTTCACAGCATCGTGGCTGATACTCTGTGGAAACACTGCAGCCCCAGAAGGACGTGGTTTCTAGGCTTTAAGTCTTTTTTCTATTAGCTTCAGCTCTTTGAACCACTTCCCTCCTGTTATACATATATAATATACACATAACAACCGCTCTCGAAAGAAGTATTTATCCGTTTTATTAACGATCAAGCTGCCAACTGGTAAATATGACTCTCTCACTCATAATTGACTTCAGGGAATCTGAATGAGTCATAATGATAAATATCAGTACTTTAAAACACTGTAACAAGCGCTGTTAAATTCAAATTCAAGTGAAAATAAATGACAACATATTTGAGGGTCGATTAATCACTTGATTTATTATCATGTGTAAAGTTGTTGCTTGTTCCTGCTCCTGAGGTGAAAGGATAAACTGCTGGCATGTGTTTCAGTGGGATTGTTTTTCTGAGAAATTGGGGAAAATCACAAAAACTATCAGCAATTTAAAAAACAACAACTTGTGAATCTGCCACTTTGACTGGATCATCACAAACATTGGATTCTTCTCTGGCCTTTGCTCCATCAATTCACCAAATCTGGTGCAAATCACCTCAGTACTTTTAGAGCAATCCTGCCGACAGATAATCAAACCAAGAAAAACTATAGATGTGATCAACGTTTTTCAGATATATACATTCAATACTAAAAATACAAAAGTATTGAACATTAACTGATACTGATTCACGTGTTCTTTCGTTTTAATGCTGTTTCATTTTGTTTTGTTCATCTTTTCCTCTGCTTCACACGTGACGGATTGTGTCTCCTTCAAGGCGATGATAGTGACACAGTCACTATGGAAAAGGCAGCGGGATTTTCAGAAATTTGCCAACATCAGTCCTACTGATTAGGCTGCAGACAGACACTGCTTTTAACTAGCAACTAGCAAAGGTCAAAAGAGTGTGTGGCCATGCAGAGCTCATCCTCATTAGAAACAACTGCACTACTGGACTCCAGGAGCTGACAGTCAGCTAGTTTAGATTATAGATGGTTGATGCAGGGGACAGACGGCGATGCAGCTAAATGTATTTATGCCAAAATCCCCCGCTGATCTAACAAAAGTCAGAGGATGAATTTACACAGTTAAAGTTTGACTATTTTTAGAGTGAAGTTCAATGGAACCACAAACGGACAAATAAAAATAAGAAACACAGGAAAAAAAATAAAAGTCAATCAAGAGTTAAAAACAGCAGGTGAGTATAAAAAGAGGAGAGAAATGTGGAGAAAGCGTATTTGAAACCTCGGGGTGAAGGGGAGCAGAGCTAAACCTTTCTTTGATGAAGGAGACTGAGTGGATCATTTCAAGGTCACGTACCATTTAAAACAAGCTATATACACACCGGCCCTGTTGTTTCAAGATACATGTGAATCCTCACCTGCTCTTTGTCCTGTAGCTCAGCCTCCAGCTCCTGCACTCGTACACTCAGTTGGGCGTTTTTCTGCTTCTCCTGATTGGCTTCGTTACATTGGGCTTCTAGTTCTGCAATCTGAACACATTAGAAAAAAGACAGAGATACAGTTTTTAAAAATGTCAGTCATGTGTATTTGTGAATAATCTATAGCTCAACGCTGTGTTGCAGTGTGTGGAGCTCTCAGGGACACCATTATAATCTCTATCTTATGAGTGGTGTCATCTTAAAAAGGATTATTAAAGAAAAAACAAGCATTGTTACAAAATGCATTGCAGCACCAGTCCAGCTGCAGAAACAGCCCACATTGATTATGAAACTAAAATGATTCTATTTATAGTGAACATGCAGCTGAGACTCTGGTGCAGGAAACACAAGCTTATAAAATGACCAGCACTCTTTGCACAAACTTGCATGAGATCCAACACCATTTGATGAGCGATTTACTCGCCCCACTATATACAGATTTTACGAGATTAACCTCCCGAACAAAAAAAAATCTTGTGACTGTGTGGTGTAGGTTTGTACGTTTTATAAAAGACTGTTTCTACTCTGTCACCTTCTCCGCCTCCAGGATCGATGGGTTTGTGTACGTCATTTCATTTCCCTGAGGGAGTGCATGAATGTATTACCTTTTCCCTGAGCGTGTCACTCTCTTCCTTGCAGGTGCTAAGTTGTTTTTTCCAGCTCTCCACGTTAGCTGAAGACTCCTGGAGTGCGTCCACCAGCCTGGCATTATTCTCTCTTAAAGTCTGCAGCTCTGTTTCCCACTTTTTGGCGTTGGTGTTGCTGTCAGAAACAGAGAGATCCAGATGGAGGGTTATTAATGGAAGCAAAATGTAGATAGGTTAGTGCTGAGAGGCCTGCAGCCTGTGCCCACTGACGTGACACATAATGTAACAAATTCCTTACAGTCATAACTATTTAATTAGCCGTGATGTACACACAGTCAAGACATATTTAGACCATTGAAGAGGAAATAAGTGAGAAAAGTCTCAAAGGTCTAATGAGTCACTGCACTGATACCAAACACAAAGTTTGTTGTCTTCTCATACCACAGAGTTTGTTTCTGTCTTATCGGTATAGCTGGAGAGGTTTTGATGTATATTTAGCATGCATCACTGCCCCCCTTCCTTATGCATGGCTGGGTTGAAGTGCGCTACTCTCCATCAAATGTGGACAGACGTGCAACAGCAGCATTCTGCAGTGCTCTGCTATTTCACTGCTGGGACACGTCCACGAAAGAAAATCTCAAAGCCTTGTGAAGGCATGAAAACAGGTCCAGCAACAACAGAGCAGTGATGGAACAAACTATGTTTCAGTAGATACACAGCTGTGACAAAACATGAATTATTTGAATTATTTGAATTATAGTTTTCTAAAATGCGAACTTCCACCAAATAAGGTAGATTCGTCATTTGCTATTGGAAACTTCAGTCTCCATATAGGTTGAACTGTTTACATCCAGTGTTCCATGTAATTAGTTCCAAGTCACACTGTTCTGTCCAGGAATCTTCTTAAGAGTGTAAGATAATCTTAATATATAAACCTTGAAGAAAATGAAATATAATAGAACAGTATTATATAAGATTATATATCAATTCTTATAATCTTAGTAAAATGGCTGAAATCTACTTGTGTATAAAATAACCAACATCACTCAAGCCGATGTTCATTAAATTTGAATCTTCTTGTCTGAATGAGGTTTTACATATTGCTGCGGAATTTCTGCTAATTGGTCTTTGGCCTTTTATCCCATCTGGATCAAATATGTCCGTTTTTGCTTTCCAGTTCTAATTTTGGTTAAATTCACTCACAGTTTTCCTTTTACTCTGAGGCCCTGGGGTAGTTTTAATCCCATCTGAAACTACATCTGGTGCTTCATGCAATTACTGATTTATACACTCGACATCTGGATTATAAAAGCCACGTCGCTGAATAGTGAAGCAGAATCACTCTTTGGATTTGATCTGCTCACCCACACCTGCTCCTGTGACCACCCAGAACCTTTAATAGCTCCCGGTCACTCATTGCATCCAATTCAAAATTCTCCTCCTCCTCCCCAATTGACAATAAAATGATAGGAGGCATGTTCAGGATTAATACACTCGATTTCATACCATTTGGATGACTAAGTAAATTTCACAATATGCATGTAAATGTGAAATTACTGATCCACAGGCTTCAATAAAACCTGTGTCAAGGAGATACTTTTAGATCCCTGACATTTCCTCAGTAATTGTGATCACGGCCCCAGAATAAAAACCCATTCATGTGGATTTTATTAGATTCCAACAGAGCTTTGTGACTGAGTAAGAGTCATGCAGTAAGTGCTCATAGAGAGAGTATTTTCTCTTTCTGCTCCAGACACAAAGTTCGTCCAACTCTCACACCATCGTTACCTGCAAACTCATGTGCGTGCATATTTGAATTTATTTGGCTGTTGTTGAGGTTTTCTGTGAAATGCAGCCTTACCTCTGCTCTACTGCACTCTTGAGCTGATCGTTCTCGGTCTGCAGCAGGGCAGCCTCTGGACCGACATGAAAGATTTTCTCATCATCTGTCCCATTGATGCTGGACGCCTGGTTGGCGGAGGGCGTCTCAGGTCCAGAATCCTGGTAAAGGGCAGTGGGACACTTGTTAAGGCTCAGGGCAGATTTTGATTGAAGCTTATCCAGAGGTTTCTGAAAGCTCTGAGGAGTTCTGAGTTCTGAGTGTGACAAGGGGGCAGTGCACTTTTTCAGTGAATCACTGTCAACAACCCTAGACACGTCAGCTATGACAGCAAAGTGGTGATGAAAAACTGTTGCCAGTATTTATCAAGTCATATGGCCCAACAGCTTTGTGTGTCTCAGAGCTGAGTGGGATGCCTGCCATCTGAAGTCAGCGCAGGACGAGACGACCTGACGGCCAAATACTGAGCCGTGACTTCTGGATCGACCTTGAATCAACGCTGGTTACTTACTGACAGAATTATAAATATGACATTGTTTATGTAGAACTGAGTAACTCATGTCTATCATCAATTATCAATCATATATTTATCAGCCCTGCTTGCTTCCTTCTCTTCCTTCTCTGTGAGATACTAAGGATGACCTTTGACCTGTCATTACCACTAGGTTTTCATCCTTTCCGTTTGTTGTTTAAAGTAAGATTACGCAAAAGCTACTGGACGGATTACCATGAAACTTGGTGAAAAGATGTGGAATACGAGATTCACAGGAAATAATTCATAGATTTTGATGAAAAAAAAATCTGTTGACTGTAGGGCCTCCGTGGATGCATGTGCTCTACTGAGTCCCTTTAAGTTCATGATGGTTCAGGCCAGAAGCTGTTTCTAAACACAGAATCTGATGTTTGAAGTCTTTAGTGCTTGTAAAGGAACGTTTGTTTAACTGCAGTGACAGGGAGAGAGTTGTACTCAATCAAAACTTCAGACAGCAGAGAGATGTAACTTACCTGGGAGTTATTACTCAATGTATCCACCTTCTCTTGAGATTTATCCCTCGCTAACTTGGCCGCTTCTTTCACCTCCTGGAACTTCTCAGCAAACTGGAAATATCAGACAGAGCTGTGATCATGAGTTGCAGTACAAGCTGATGTGTCACAGAAATAATTGGCTCCATATACTGACAGTGAGGATCTGAGAATCATTTTCTGATAGCATCTATTCTCCATCTGACGTTCAGCTCTTAACCAACTGTGCACTGTCACGCTTGAGTTTTAGCAGCAACACATAAATCAGCTCGTCTCTGAGCTTTGTGACTTAATGTGCTGCGGCAGAAAACGCCTCCTCTCACCTTGCTCAGCTGCTGCTCTGAAGCGAAGCCCAGTCCAAACACGGTGTTGGCCCTGCTGTCGGCCCATTGGCCAAACTTCTGCGATGTCTTGGTGAACGTCATGTTGGGTGTGATGGTGCTGTTGATGATCACCTGTTAAAACAAACCCAATTCATCATTAACATTAATGTCAATGCTGCTAATCAATACACTTGCATTAGGCTTCCAGCTTATTTTCAGGATGTGTCACGCTCCCGTCAGGTTCATGTCTGATACTGTGAAACCTGCGTCTCATTCATCTGAGACATATTTATGAGTAATCATGTGATTTAGTAAAAGACAATCCAGAATTTTAGATCCACTGATACCAGAGTAAAGTATTTATGTAGTTCACTGTCCCAACCCTGACAAATGTGATTACAATAAGCACATTTATTACTTTTTACCTCCGCCAAGGATTTTATGTTTCACCCCTGTCTTTTTGTGCTGCGGAAAGATGAGACATGAGCCGAGAAAGAATCCATTACAATTCTTTAACACTGCGAGATGTTGCGAGAGATTGTGAGGCATTTTTTCAACATGTTCACCAATTTCCATGCAGGGATTTGTGGATCTTGATTGCATATGCAATAACAGGCAAAACCCACGCAGCTGTGCCACTAAAGTCTAACTTTAACACTGGTAAACTGCACCTCACTCAAACTACTATGTTCAACCTATACATCTGAGGTGGAAGGAAGACATGGAAAACATTTGAATATCTTGCACTCAGTATATTTTGTTGTACGATGGCAAAAGTATGATTTGCTGAGCCTAAATAAATAAAAACACAGACACACAGACTGAGCGGTGGTGACTGCTGACCAACTGACCTCTTAGTAGTCAAGTTACAGTCTCCCTGTTTGCTACAGTACACATTCACCTGTTGCAGCTATGCAGTAAATCAGCTGTCAGAAAACATTTGCTGCAGTCTAAAATTGTAACTAGAGCATGAGACAGTGACGGCAGAAAGCAACCGATTTTTAAAACACCATCTCAGCCTCACCTGACGCTGCTGATTTGTTTGTGTTGTTTCCGGTTTGTTTGCCACAAGACATGTCTAATCCCATAAGAAAAGCTGGATGTGCATATAAACAAAACTCATTTCACCTCCAACATATGAGATCTCAAAACAGCACATGCAAATTACCAACAATTGAGAAACAACAGTGGACAGTTTAATAACAGTGCAGCTCTTGTTTCATAGCAACATGGCTCTGAACACAGGACTCGAGAATCCAAGTTGACGACAGACTCGTGTCCTTTTCTACACCCCCATGTCTCCTTCTACTCTTTTCATTGGCTGAGGTATTAAAACAGAAACGGAACAAGCAGATTAGCACACTGTCAAGACACACTCACTCATTTGAGTCTCATTCAGAAGATTGCTAATGGCCCCTAAAGAGAGAGATCACTGCACATTCAAAAACAAGACTTTTATTGGCGTAAAGATTAAAGATTCGACCTCTGATTCGGGCTGGATGTTAAGGGTGTAGAAGAAGAGAGGCAGTTTACAGCGGTGTCAGATATTTTATTTTAAAAATCATCGTTCCTCCAGAGGCTTCTTCAAAACATAGGTGACCTAATTTCCCCTGAAGGAAAACCAGAGCAAAGCCTGAACAACAACACTCACACACGTCGAGCAGCCGAGTGAATATTTAACAGGGCTCATCACACCAGCTCAAAGATAAGATCAAACTTTAATGAGCATTGTGGTGAAATTGGGCCAGTGCAGCAAAGTAATAATAATAAATACAGATAATATGTGTTGAGAAGTTAACATGAGGAGTTCTGATGAATGTACATCTGAAATCTTTTAATTATTTTATAAACTGGAAATCTGAAGATATTTTGATTAATTGTTTTAAAAGTCATCAAGCAAGAATATCAAATGTCTCATATTGCAGCTTTTTGAATGGGTTTGTGATTCTGCTTTCTTTGGTTTTTGGCCGTGGAAACTAAAAATCTTTGGACTGGAAACTAAAAATCTTTGGACTGGAAACTGAGAATCTTTGTTTTTGGACAAGCCCTTTTCTGTTTTGTTCATGAAAGTCAATACATTTCATATGATGGAATAAAAAAAACTGGAGACTTAATATTATTAGAAAACATTTATATTATTAGCAAAATTTAATGCGAACAAAAATAGTTCCACTCCTGCATCCAAAATCTTGATCAGTCTCATCATTTCTTGAGAAACTATTAGACACATTTTAATATCACGCTGATTTTTCCAGCAATAACCTTCAGTTGATCACAACCAAACATTTCCTCCTCCACTAAAGAGGCAACTTCCAGACCCAAGTCTGTGTGGGTCCAACTTAACAAGATGTTCCTTATTCTTCATTTTTACACTGGCGCCAGGCTGCTTCTGATGTCCACCAATAAATTAACTAAAATTATGATTTTCTTGTAATATTATGACTTTATTTTAAAAATGTCTCAAATCAAAATATCTCAAGATGTTTCCCTCTTAAAGTGACCCTAATATTGTGACACTGAATTTAACTCCATCCCCAAACATATCGGATCTTGAGATGACAGAAAGATGAGAGTCGAGACACGACTAAGGTATAAAGGTATATAAAAGTAATGATCTGTAAGTGCGTATTAGAAGGTTGTCCTCGTCTATGAGGACCATGTGACTGTGCGCTGGCATGTACGACTGTATGACTCAGAGAGAGTGGGAGGGTGAGACAGGGGGAGGGTGAGCAGAGTGACGCTGGCAGCTGTGCGGGTGAGGAGCTGTGGATCATGTGGCACAGGAGGAGCAGAGTGAAGCTCGGCTGGCCGACAGCCCGAGGGTCAGTTGGAAAACTTCTTCCTCGGCTGATTATGTGTCTGCAGAGTGTGCAGAATCTGCAGAGTCAGTCAAGTACAATTAGAGGTGCAGTACATGAGTGGAGGTAATGGGAGGGAAAGAGCTGTGATCACTTGTCCAAAAAAACAAATACACAGAGGAAAAAGGAAACCTGCTGCACTTTGTTTTGAAAAGCAAAAGAGCCCTGGCTAAATTGTGACACTATTCAGATAATCATACACTTTTGTCAGGAACTTGAAGGACTCCTAAACGTTGTGTTCATTCTAAAAAAAAAATATATATCTATAATACTGAACTTGTGTATAACTTTTGAGTGTGTCACCATTTTAATAAATCACAGGCGTCAGTGTTTTCCAGTTCTCAAGGCCATAAAATCTCAATGAGACTGCATGAATCAAAAATGCTGTTTGTATCAGTTTTCAGACATGAACTCCAGAAAAGAAAGATGAACAAAAATTGGTTCTGCCCTTCAAATATGAAAAACGCAGCAGGAGCTTGCCCACATGAGTTCACAACACCAGCAGAATGTTCAGAGGAGGTATCGTTGCGTTTACAGCACATCGACATCAGCCCTTATCACCAAAAGCTCTTGTCTTTCAAAGTGGATATCTTCTTCAGCATCCCGACACCCATTTTCCTCCTGAGATATTGGTATCATTGTTTCAGTTTTATGTCAGTCCCATGTTACAAACATCAACTCGCTCGCTGTGACGTTATTCTACTCCATTCTCAAATTTTCTGGAGATTTGACCAGTGGGGGTGCCAGGAGAAGTTCCAAACAATATCCAGCGAAACTGACTGCGACATTTACATTCTCAAAAACAGCCCCTCTTAAAAGAAATGTCCAGAGTTTAGTGCATGTCTGAAAGCAGCTTATGTGTTATATAATATTGTGATTCCCTGATCATTGTCAGTGGCATTCATTTTTACTTAATATTTTGAAAAATAGTTTTGAGACATTTCTGAGCACAACATCTTGTTCTCTTATGTCAAATGGTCCACGATGTCTTTATAGCTGAAAGGTTTTCTGCCTTCAGATGATACATCTCGTGGAGCAGGTCGTAGTAGTGACTGCAGTACTGGCAGAAGGCTTTATGAATACTTACAGCACACAATCAAATATTGATTTCCATACACAGTTTAGTTTTGTACACAACATATGAGAAGGAGTGGCAGAAGATTGCCTGCACTGATTTTCTGGTTGAATTATGTTTCAAAAATGGTGGCAGTGACACACTGTGGTTTGAAAGACGTGCCCGTCTTATACCTCGGGTATCTATGGTAACTTCTTCTGGCCAGATAAGCAGAGACCTTCACACATGTCATTGCAGGCGTATAATTCCATCTGAAGACTGAATAGATGGTGTATTTAAAATGTGCATTAGAGCATACAGGAAATTCAACAATGCCTCTGCCTTCCAGCCTCAAGTCTTGGATGTCGGCTATTGAATAGCAGCCTTTCCATTGGAAGAAGTTAATGAATACAGATCATGCCTCAGATGACATTCGTTTATTTTATTATTTGTTGTTTCAGGTTGTTTTTTTATGACAAAATAGTAACGTGATGCTTTCTACTCGGCTGAATTTCCTTATGTTGGGAGTTCCACAGTAGCTCATAGCAGCTTTGGTGTGATTGCACCATAATCCTGATAAATAATTGTTTTGGGACTCGTATCAACCCGGTGCATTGTCTCATCGTGACAGCTGAGTAAACAATAAAGGGCAAAGACGAGTTTTATTGTAGTAATTCACCCAAACTCTAAAAAAGGGGATGAACACTACAAACACCTAGAGGCAGCGTGTACATGTCCCCATAGATATAGAAAGAAACCAATACTGTAGTAAATGATCAGAACCTTTATCTACAACCAGAAAGACACACAGAGGTGATGATATCACATTAATTATATTTATTTAACAATATGCACATTATTTACATATTCACAAAGAGGTTTACAGGTAAT